ATTGTTGTTTGGCGGGTCCGGGCTGGGGATTCGAACCCGCCACCTTAGGTGTACGTGGCTGGCGCCTTAGCCGGTTGAGCTATAGGCGCCGAGCCGTTTAACACAGTTCTTAACACTGGCTTCTTACCACTTATGTGAACACTTCTGGAGTTCACATAGCCTCACAGTAATAATTTTGTTTCATTGTATATTGTTAATGACTGTAAACTGTTCAATAAGGGATTGTTTTCTGAAAAAAACTCTTTTCTGAAAACAATCCCTTATTAAACAGTTTACAGTCATTAACAATATACATCAATTCAATAGCATCTACCCTCTAGGAGTCCCACGGTGTTTCTTTCCTTTATCCTGTAGGACAATGTGAAAGCTCACACCACTGACTTTCTCTTTATTCTCTAAGGCCATAAGCATCACCAATCATGTAACACTCTAGCTCAGCTACCCATTGGTGATAGCTATACCTGATGTATAAATCATTTGAGTAGATGGTTACTAAGAGAACAAGAAATAAGATGCCTTGGTTCAAATATTGAGTAACTAGAGTTTAATTCCAAGAGTCAGTTCTATTTTTTTCATTATAAAGAGTTCAGCCATATTCTGAGTTGAAGGTGTCTGTGGGCTAACCTGATAACCTAACCAACATATGCCAAGTTCCAAACAATTACTTTAGGAGCCAGGCACAGTGGTACATGTCTGTAGTCTTAGCTAACTTGGAAGCTGAGGCAGGGAGACCTTTCAAGACCAGGAGTTTGAAGTTGCAGTAAGCTATGATCATGCCACTGCACTCCAGCTTGACCAACAAAAAGACGCTCCCTGCTCAAGTAAATAAATACATATACTCTCATAACATGTACTCACATGTTGCCAAAATTTCCTAGTTCTAGATCTCAGATTAGAATTTTCTTTGAGTTTACTGGTTCAATGACTTGAAATGTTATATTTGACAGATGACTGTAGAGTTTGGTAAACTGTACAAAATGACAACCAAAATCCTAATGGACAACTCTATAATAAGCAATGCTGTAGCTTAATACCAACATAGTTACTATTACAGTATAATGAAACTTTTATATACACAAAAATACATTAAAATCCACATGGCAAAGGAAAATACTTACAGAAATAAATACAAGATCAGCTTCTTTGATGGCATCATCAATATTGGTAGAAAAAAATAGATTTTTTCCTCGGCAAGATTCTACCACTTCTTTTAGTCCTGGCTAGAAAGAAAAGAAAAAAGGAATTGTACATGCAGTTCACCAGTAATATGAAATAACCTAATACGTAGTACTGAATTACATTTGTTAAAGGGAAAAGTTATATTGTAATTTAAAGGTCTATGTTGTTCTCAGCACTTCTGTGGAAGAGTCAAGGGTCATATACTAAAGGCCATAAGTGTACATTATATAACACTACTAAATCAAGCAAAATTGAACTTGTCACAATCAGAGCAATCACTCATTTTAATGCTTTGTCATTGTTTACCATGTGCCTATTTCATAAGTTAACTATTAACTCTGAGTATCAACCCAATTTTCAGAAAATTCAAGGCCCTTGTGTGATTTCAAGCAAACATATGATTTGCACTGTCATTATGATTGCAGATTTTTGTTGTTGTTGTTGCAGTTTGGCCAGGGCTGGGTTTAAACCTGCCACCCTCGGTATATGGGGCTCTCTGAGCCACAGGCACCACCCCTGATTGCAGATTTTTACACTTTATTCAGGCCATAAAATTATCTGTGAAAGGCAACATTTATACATAACCAAATGTATATTCTGAGTCTTACTATAAGACATCCTTTTATTGTAAAATTTTTTATTACTTTTTCTCATTCAATTAAATAAGAGATATATTTATGTCAAGAATACTTAGGGGGGTTTGTGAGCTATGATGAGGTCATGACACTCTAGCCCAGGCTCATACCTATAATCCTAGCACTCTGGGAGGCTGGCAGATTGCTTGAGCTCAGGAGTTTGAGACCAGCCTGAGCAGGAGCAAGACCCCCATCTCTCCTAAAAATAGAAAAACCAGCTGTGAGTTGTGGCAGGTACTTGTAATCCTATCTACTTGGGAGGCTGAGGCAAGAGGATTGCTTTAGCCCAAGAGTTTGAGGTTGCTATGAGCTAGGTTACCATAGCACTCTACCCAGGGCAACAAAGTGGTGAGACTCTGTCTCAAAAAAAAAGAATACTTAGGGAGGGGTACAATGTCACTTAGCAAGTATTCTTGCAGAAAAATAAAAATAAAGCCTAAATCTGATTTGACATCTCCTCTGAAGTAAAGGATACAGGAAAATAAGTTTAGAAACCTCAAGGATACTTAATCAGCAAAACCCAGGCTTGGTATGGTTTGGTAGAAGGATCACTGGAGCCCAGGAGTTTGACACCAGCCTGGACAATATACTAAGACCCCGTCTCTACAAAAAAAATATGAAAATTAAGTGGGCGTGGCAGCACGCACCCATATTCCTAACTACTCAGAAAGCTGAAGCTGGAGGATTGCTTGAGCCCAGGAGTTTGAGGCTGCAATGAGCTATGATCACACCCCTGCACTTCAGCTTGGTGACAGATCAAGATCTTTCTCAAATAAAAATCAGCAAAATCCAGACTGAAAATTTTTATAGGATAAAGAAATTGGTTTCTGGGCAGTGCCTGTGGCTCAAAGGAGGAGGGCGCCGGCTCCACATGCCAGAGGTGGTGGGTTCAAACACAGCCCTAGTCAAAAACTGCAAAAAAAAGAAAAAAAATTGGTTTCTTCAACCAAGAAACTGAAAAGAAAAAAAGAGAAAGAAGGGGGAGATCAAACTATTGTGGGCTTAAAAAACACTTAAGTGATATTGATCTATTGTAATGTATGGATCTTACTTAGATCCTGATTCAAATTAACTGTGGGGAGAAGAACACATATAAGAATTCCTGATAGAAATTTTTGTTAAGTTTTTTAATAGTGATATGGTGATGTGCTGTGTTTAAAATAGAATTATCTTTTAGAGATACACAATGAACTGTTTATGGATGAAATTATAAATATTGAAAATGGTGATAGATAGTAGTAGGGACTGGTCGTGCTGCTAACTGTTGAAACAAGGTGATGGGTACATGAAGATTCATTATACCATTATCTCTGCTTGTCTTAACTGTTTGAAATCTTCCATAATAAAAAGCAAAAACAAAACAGACCCAAGCCACTGAAACTTACTCTTCTTGGGGGAGAAGCTTCAAACAATATCCTCAATATTGTGGCTATTTAGAAAACTACCTACATAGCAAAATGAAAGCCACTCAGGGACCACAGGTCTAGAATTATATCCAGAAGCAATTCCTGTTTCTTCATGGTTCTGAGGTTTTTTTAATATAACCAACTGGAGGAAGGAAACATAAACATAAATTCAAATTTCCATTAGTTTGACTAAAAAATAAAGTGTGCAAAATACACAAACTACTACAACCACAAATACGATGTCATCAATCACACTAACAGGGTTCCTTGTTATTTTCATTGGGCTCTAAAAAATGAGAGAAAAGATTACAAAGTTGGCGTTTACAGAGAACAAGATTTAATTTATTCTTATATGTGATCTCTCTCTCTATAGAGAGAGAGAGTTTCAGGTTGCTGGTGAGCTAGTTTGATGCCACATTACTCTAGCTTGGTCAACAGAGTGAGACTCACTCCACTGCCTAGCCTGGAAGGCACAATCACAAATCACTGCAGCTTCAAACTCCTGGGTATAGGCACTCCTCCTGACTCTCCTAAGAGAGTCTGGCTAATAATCTCCTACTATTTAAATCAAAGTAACTAAAACCAGACCAATGCAGAATTTATATAAGATCTCAAAATGAAGTTACATAATTCTACTAAAATCAGTAAGTTATCTGCAGATCTTTAAAACTGATGCAGAAGCAGTTAAATACAGGTTTTAAGGCCAGGGACAGTGGCCTCATGCCTATAATCCTAGCACTTGGGGAGGCCAAGGCAGGCGGATTGCCTGAGCTCACAAGTTCAAGACCAGCCAGAGCAAAACCCCCTCTCTAAAAATAGCCAGGCACTGGGACAGACGCCTGTTGTCCCAGCTACCAGTGAGGCTGAGGCAAGAGAATCAATCACTTGAGCCCCACAGTTTGAGGTTGCTGTGAGCTATGATGCCACCAGCACTCTACCGAGAGAGACAAAATGAGACTCAGTCTCAAAAAATAAATAAATAAATAAATAAATAAATAAAATAATAATAATATAGGTTCTGGGCAGTGCCTGTGGCTCAAAGGAGTAAGGTGCCAGCCCCATATGCCAGAGGTGCTGGGTTCAAACCTGGCCCCGGCCAAAAACTGCAAAAAAAAAAGGGCAGCACCTGTGGCTCAGTGAGTAGGGCGCCAGCCCCATATACCAAGGGTGGCAGGTTCAAATCCGACCCTGGCCAAACTACAACAAAAATATAGCTGGGCGTCGTGGCGAGCGCCTATAGTCCTAGCTACTCAGGAGGCTGAAACAAGAGAATCACCTAAGCCCAGGAATTGGGAGGCTGCTTAGAGCTGTGTGACACTGCCACGGCACTCTACCGAGGGCGATAAAGTGAAACTCTGTCTCTAAAAAAAAAAAATAATAATAATAATATACATTCTATCTCCTATTAGAGTCATTATGTAATTACCGAAATTGGTATTTAGAATTTATATCAGACTTTTAGGGACGAACTCAAATGCTTTCACATTTGAGAGGGTAAAATTATCTCTAAATTTACTTGGAAAAAAAAAATACCACAGAAAATTATCCATAAAAAAAAATAGTAGTTGCCAGGCACGGTGGCTCATGCCTATAATCCCAGCACTTTGGGAGGCTGAGGTGTGCAGATCGCCTGAGTTCACAAGTTCAAGACCAGCCGGAGTAAGAATTAGACCCGTCTCTAAAAATAGCCAGGCATTATGGTGGGCACCTATAGTCCCAGATACTCGGGAGACTGAGGTAAGAGATTTGCTTTAAGTCCAAGAGTTTGAGGGTGCTGTGAGCTCTGACACCAGGGCACTCTACCTGAGGCGACAAAGTGAGACTCTGT